CTGAACGCTCGTCGGCTCGCCAAGAGCCCGCGCCGGGTGGGAGGGAGGGAGGCCGGGCGGGCGGACGGACAGCCCGTCAGTCAGCCAGCCAGCCAGCCAGCCAGCCAGCCGCCGCCGCACACAGTCCAAACCAGGAGGGAATTTCTGGTTGGCTTGGCGGCGCGCCCGGGCGCAGTCTCTGCGGAGGAAGGGAGCGAGAGAACTCGCTCTGTTCTCACGACCTTCAGCTAAATGCACGCGGCAGGGCGGAGACATGGGGCGGCCGCCAAACCCCAACGCATCCGCCAGCTCCAGGGCAGCCGGCCCCGCCGCACAGCTTGGCTCAGGAAGGGCTTCCTTTCACTTCAAAGCCGAAAGGCTCGTGCAAATCTGCCTGGCTGAGGTTTTCCAGCAAACCCCGAACCGTGGTTAGGCCTTTTCTTTAGCAGGTGATACATAACCGCCGGTACCTCCTGGCCTCCAGATGGGTGTGGAGTGCAATCCCCATCGTCCCCTGCCAGCAGGCTCGTTGACCTTGGCGCCCACCCGCTTCAGAAACCTTACACCCGTTTCGAGGCTTTGGGCACGCAGAACACTATAGATTCCTTCCTTGGCATTTCCAGTCAATCTTAAATGTTGTGGACTAGGAGCTCCTTCCTAGGGAAGGCATCCCCCTACAGCGAGGATTGGTTAAATAAGCCCCTGGTTCACACAACCGAAAGCTGAGCATCTTGCTACACCTGAACCTGGCAATGTTGACTGTAGGTTAGATGGAAGATCTCAGCAGACCAATATTCCTTCAGTCGATGGGTGGCTATATGCATTTGTCAAATAAATAATATAACGATAGCTTCCTTTTGTTCAGTCTAGTGGAAATTGGTTCATCCCTTCCCAACAAGGTCTTCCCACAAGCCTCCCCCCCCCCATTCTTGCCAGCCACAGGTCTATCCTAAGCACATTGACCTCTCTTGGCTGCCTCCTAGTGACCAACCACATTTTTGCAGCTGTGCTCCAGTAGCCTTATAATAATATTTGTCCGCTGATCTAATATTGTGAGAGGCCGGTTTTTTTTTCTACCCACTCCCCATATCCACCTTCCACATTTAACAAAGCTGTGAAGAGGCTCCCCAAAACGCTGCTGTGAGACTTGGGAGTATATTGGGAGAACAGGGTCCCTGGAAAGCAGGATAAAAATACAGTTAAATAAATAAACAGCTGCTCCCTTGGATTAAATGTGCTGTAAGCACTGTGAGTGATTAACTGTGTGCTCTAAGGATAAACCCCATATTTAGTGCACCATAGGGTGGGACCATCACAAACTTTGGGCCTGACTTGCAGCCATGGGGGGGGGGGGAATGTGGCTGTTAACTCCAAATAACCTTTCCCCCTCCAGATAGGATCAAATCATCCATCGCATTTGCATCTCCTGTTCAGCCTGGTTGTATTTCTGCTTTAGCTTCTCGGCCTCTCCTTTAACTTTTCCCTTTTGGAAAGAACATTCCCCCCCCCCCCCCAAAAGCCCACACTTCCCCCCCTTAGTCAGTTTGCTTATTTCCTCACTCTGCTAAACAAATAATTCCTTCAACCCTGTCCAACTATTTACAAAGTCTGCACTACTATTACTATTAATCTTCTCATCACTCCTTATTGCCCCTCCCCTCCTACTTGTGATTGTACGACTGTAACTTTGCCACTTGCATCCTTACGATTTATATTTGCTGTTTCCTGGTATGATTTGATTGCTTATGACTGTTATTAAGGGCTGTACCTGGTGATTCTTGACTCTTGATGAAAGTATCTTTTCTTTTTATGTACACTGAGAGCATTTGCACCAAGACAAATTCCCTGTGTGTCCAATCACACTTGGCCAATAAAGAATTCTATTCTGTTCTGTTCTGTTCTCACGGACTGGTCCCTTTGGATCACTTGGGACTTTTTCCCGTCTCTGTTTAGTGACAGAATACTTCCTTGATTGCCTGCATGGGGTTTAATAATTACCTGACCTACTTCAGAGGGTTATTGTAAGGTTTTCTGAAATAATGCCTTGGAAGGGCTTTGTTGCACTTTTAAGCATCTCTCTCTCTCTCTCTCTCTCTTTTTATAGCTTTCCCCCATCCCTGTCATTTTGGGGAATACCCTCTTTTCTCTCCTCTGGGCTTGCTATGACGCTTCCCCTTTGGCTGCTCTTCCCCATGCTGTGCGTGTCATAATGGGTGGTAAAATTGTTTTCTCCTCAATTCTTCTTTGCTGCAGTGTGGGTGAGGTTTGGAGCAGAGTGGGCAGGGGAGGGGGGGGAGGTTTGACAGGGAAGGCAAGGGAGGGGAGGAGGAAGAACAGGGTTGAATCATTCTCATTTATGAGGAAGGCTTTTGTGAAGGCAACCGACTGAATTTACAACACTATTGAGTCCAGAGAGTCCATCTCGCGCCCACCCCACTCCGGTCAATGAGAAGGGGGCTACTGGGTGGGGGTGGGGGGGTTGGATGGGAGGGAAGGAGGAAGAAGGGCCCAGACTCTCAATAGACTCTCGGCCTTGCAAAAGAACCCGCTGCATATTCAATGAGACCTTTTATATCTTTTAATTACCCTTCTCCACAAAAGAGGCCAAGACAGCTACCCATCCCATAAGGTGGGAGAGTAACTTTTCCTGTTTCTTCCAAACCCAGGGAGGGGGGGGGGAAAAAGCAGAGCTACAGGGAGGCCAAGCCTGCTTCCATGGGGGGTGGGGGGTCTCCTTTTTAATCAGCTCATGACTCCAAACAGCACCCAATTTACGTGGTGGGTAAGTAGGCAGGCTAAGATGAAGCATTGGGTCTTGATCTTCAGGTCCTTCGCTTTGGCACAAAACTCCCTCGTTTGATACGGGTGCCTTTCGGCCTACAGAATGGAAAGTTGGGGGTGGGAAGAGAGAGAGGGGAAAAAAAAGTGACAAGGAGAATGGCCTAACTGCTTTCTGGCAGGAATTCATCATCATGATAATACTGGCCAACCTCATCTGTGACACAGGATTAGCTGAATTGTGGTAAGGAGAATGGCTGCTTTTGTGCAGAGGGCCTGAATGCAAAGATTCTCCCCTTCTGTCCCACGTCTTCAACCTGAAACAATTCCTTTCCAAAGTCAAGAAACTGCTCATTTGATACCAAGAGAAAGCAAATATCACACACTTGTATTACGAAGCTACAAGAGCCCCCTGTCTAAAACCAAGTCTTTTTCCTAGATGGTTCTCTTCCCACCCCACAACCCCCGCCATTCTCAGCTAAGGGGATATTGGTTTCCTTCACCCCCATTTTCAGGTCTTGTATCTGTTTTCTAGAGAAGGTAAACCTGCCTTTTCTGAGAATGAGGGGATGCCGTAGCTTTTCTAGGCTGCTTTTGCATCTTTCCATGCCTCAGATTAAAAACTGCAGAAAGGCAGTTCTGCGCAAGACAATGTTGGCGCAGCCTTCCAGGTCAATAGAGCAGGCTGTCAGGTTGCATATTTCGCAACTAGAAAATAAGAATTTCTATAATGCCTCTAATCCCCACAACTGCAGATGGTACCTGGTCCTTAACTTAGAGAAATGGAGGAAGATAAGATATACAGGCAACGTCTCGTTGGCTGCTTCTGTAGAGGGATCTAAATAATACAGCAGTTGAATATACATGATAAATGTGGTTTATTTTAACCTTGCTTATATTGTGGCTTAGGATATTGCATGGTCCCAGCACCTTTGGTTATTGTCCGAAAATGGATTTTAATAACCAGGTTAAATCAGTTATAACTCAGCTGTTGCTCAAGACCTCATTCGGAAACCCATTTTTTGAAAGAATATTTAAGTTAGAAACCTTTCTAAATGTATATGCTAGGGGAAAAAACTGTTTTTCCCTAGTTCCCGTTTTGAAATTAATATTCTAATAGAACTGGGTTGCATAAATAGGGATGGCCAGTAGGGGGTGCTAGTGTATACCTTTGCTGCCATCTAATGGCTGCCTGCAATTTTGCAGACCAGATGTGGTTGCCAGCCTAGAACTGCTCTCTGAAAGGACCAAAGCTGAATTTAATCTTCATTTGAACAGAATTTCAATTAGAGGTAACTAATACAATGATTCCCTAGTAATTAAAATATTTTTTCCTTTTCCCATATTAGCGTTTACTGTTTGGAGTTGCTGAGGGGCAGCCAAGTTTTTGGGGGACTAAGATTTGAAGAAGGAGAACAGAGTTGACTCTTTAAATCTTGGCTAGCTAAGTGCATAAGCTTTGGGCCGAATTGTCAACTTCGCTAACATCACAAGGCTTAAATTTCATCTCTGTTATATATAAGGGAAGCAAGTTTGTTTTCTTGGAAGCTAATTTTGTGTGATTTAAAAGAGGAATCTTAGCATGAAAGCACTATCAGCTGTTTGGAGCAGCTCTTGCCAAATTAAGGAAAAAATACGGCTTGTCCATCACATCCATGGGCATTTATTGCACTGGGTGGCAAATTTCTCCCCTATAAGCCTACTTAAGATTACCCAATTAAATCTGAATAGTATTTAAGTGGGGGGGAAAGGGGGGGCTTTTAGATTTTGCAAGTATAACAGATAAAGACTGCTCCCCACCCATTTCTTTCACAGATGGGAACGCCTTTGAGATAATCACACCCTAATTTTGTATTTGTCCATGAAAAAAATGGACCTTTAATAATGTAACTGGAACATTCTAGTTGAATCCAAAGCATTTTCTGCCTTCTTGATTTGCTAAGGGAGCCCACAATCCTTGCAACTTTCCTTCACCTTGCACACATTGCGTGGTGTCTGCGATGCCCCTAAAGAAGGAGATAGCATTGATAACCAAATCACATTTGTCCAAGTCCACTAATTTAAAAAGTTTTAAACTCTTGCCCACTCTTCGTTCTGGCCACGACACAACAGCATGTTTTAATTCAAGAAAGTTTTTATTTGTACAAACATCTTCCAGCATTCTTTAAAAACAAAAGTCTCGAGACAGTCATAAACAAGCTTTGGCATAGCACATGGCAAATATTTGATACAAAACTAACTTCTTTCTTTTTTTAAAAAAGAAATATTTCACATGACGTTTAAAAGGATGAAAAATACAAATTGGCATTCCAACCTTTGGAAAGGAATAAATATGAAAGGTTTTTTGTGTGTGGGGTGGGGGAGGGAAGAGGGGAGGGTGGGATTCAGTCAACAAAATAAAACTTTATAGAGGTCCAGGTTCCATACAACGGAACCAATGTTGAAAATAGTCAGGATTCCTTTTTCTGTGTGGGGGGCTAGAGGGGGGAGGGGGAGGGAAGTCACCAAGGTCTCCAGACAGTCTCGTGGTGACGTTCTCCTCCGGCTTGAGAAACGGCGGCTAAGCTGCCCCCAAAGGATGTGAGCCCCTGCACTGGTGATACCGAAGGAGTCGTCGTTGAACCGTTGCAGGAAACGGGCATGTTTGCATTGGCATAGAGCGGAACCACGGGTCCGGCGTTAGGTGGGAAGGATGGGCCGGGGATGAGGAAGGCGAACTGACCGTCCGTCGCAGGTACCAGCTGGAAGCCCCCGTAGACTTTTGGGGACAAAGTTTCACCAGGGTTGAGTTTGCACGGGCCGGGAAGGACTCCAGCTGCTGCAGCTGCTGAGCCCGGCAGCTGGATATGCAAAGGTTGCGCCAAATGCGCAGGCTGTCCGCCAGTGGCCTGAGGGGGAGGGGGAGGCGGTGGGGGGTAATTCATGGCCACAATCTGACCCAGGCAAGTGGAAAGGTGGCCCAAGAGGCGGCTGCGGACTTCCGTGTTCACCCCTTCGCAGGTGGAGAGGAAACGAGTCACTTCGTTCATGCACTCATTAAATCCAGCTCGGTATTTGCCCAGGACGGTAGGATCTGCACTCAGAGCAGCTGCCAAGGGAAGGAAAAAGGGTGAAGGATTAATAACCTGAACCAGGAATGAAGCCTCTTTTATTTTTATTTTTTTGCTCTTGGGGACGAATTGCTTCCTTAGGGCTGCTTTCTCTGGCCAGTCTCTCTCCTACTAAAAGATCCTCCTACTAAAGATCTTTAAGATGTTGGCTTGGAGACCGGGTCAGCTGTGGGATTTTCCTGGGTGGAGAAGGACCAAACACTTCCCCCCCCACCCCACCCCAGGGCCCTGGAACAGGAAGATGGGCTTCAAATCCTAAGCCACAAAACCTTTTGGCATGTTGGTTTCTATCCTGCCTTGCAGGAGATACTAAGATGATTTATTGCCAAGCAAGAACAGAGTATATAAACAGAGTATATCTCTGTGTGTGTGGAAAAACAGTGGCTAGATTTTCCATAATATATAATTTTATTTTCTTTCTCGAGAAGAAACCCTTTGCTTTCACGAGGAGAACAATTCAGAGGCCAACGCTTTATACACTCTTAGCTGGCAAGAGGTTTGCTACTCACCTGTCATCTGGGCTCTTTGGAGATTTCTCAGGTGTTTTACTGTCATTTCCAAGATATCTGCTTTCTCTAGCTTGGAATGCCTGGAGCTCTGGAGGAAAGGGGGGGGGAAAAAGAAAAGGTGAGCTGTGCCTCCAACCACACCGACTCAGGTATCCCTAAAACTGTAGGGACCCCAGGCTCCTCCCTCCTCCCCCCCCCCCTTCAGGGGTTGCTGACGCAATACGTATCCCCTCCCCCACCAATTTACATCTTTCTTCAGCGCATCCAGGATGAGAGTCTTGAGCTGTCCCAGGCTTTCATTAATCCGGGCCCTCCGTCGTTTCTCCATGATGGGTTTAGATGACTGTTTTTTTTGGGGGGGAAAGGAGAGAGAGAGAAAGGTTAGAAAATCCAAGTAGGCTTCATTGGGGTGGGGGTGGCTCCTCCTCATCTTGCAATTGAGATCCTGCAGCCCCGGTGAACTCCCCTCTGCAGAGATTCAGGGTGGTTAGCAAACTTGTTGGATTCTCTAAGCATGGCAAGGTGTCCAAGGTTCCAAGCCTTGGAAGGACGGAGGAAGAAGATCCCTAAACTGCGCTGGATGTCCAGTTCCCACCCCCCAAATCTTTACCCAGGTGCTGTCCTGGCTTGCACCCTTCTTCCTCCCCCCACCCTTTATATATATCTACTCCTCTTCTTCACCTATGCCTTCCCTACCAGCGCATCCCCACCTCTCTTTTCTTGCCGGTATCTCTCACGCAGTTCAAAATCTCAGCATTAAAGTGGGGGGGGGG